CCCCCCCCCCCTCAAAAAAAGTCAATTTTCGTGAGAACTGTCAAAATTGAGATAAATACATAGGAAAATAGCCCGTCGTCTGCTCTTTCAAAATCAATAAAAATTTTTCCTAAAACCTCCATTTTTTCCCGAAATATTCCAGAATTTCAGAGAACCAGTTTTTGAAAAACCAGCGGTTTTTTGAAATATCCAGAAATGTTTTTCGTTTTTTCTCGATTTATGATTTTTGGATTTTGGTACAAGGATTTCTTAGTCCGGGTCCGTCCAACATATTTAAATTTTTTTTTTGTTTGAAAGAGCGCGTCGAGATGCAGGTCACTACAGAGTCCTTTTTTTAATTAAGCTTTGTTTTTTATTATATATAAAGACACTTATGTGACTGGACACCCATTTTTGGGGCGTTTTTTGAGTCATTGGACTTGTGATCTCCTTTCTCCGCTAAAAAAGTAAGAATCTCAAAAAAAGGACTCTGTAGTGCTCTGCATCCTGATATGCTCTTTCTAACAAAAAAAAAATTTAAATAGGTTAGACGGGTCCGGGCTGAGAAATCCTTGTACCAAAATGACCTATTTTTGACCCTTGTTTGGTGAATATCTCAGTCAAACATCAGGGTATTGAGCTGAAAATTTTATCACAGCCTCCTCGCATCAGCCCCAACATATGCTCCAAATTTCAGCCCATTTGAACATACCTGGGCTGAGATCGATTTTTGAGGGGGGGGGGGGGTGGCCTTAAGTAATTCAAGTTGACAATATTGACGTTGAAGTGTATGACATTGTGAATTAGCAAGAGGATGAAGACGAGGCGTCCAATTTTCAACAAGATCACCTAATAGTTGATCAATAGAAGTTGTGATTATTGAAGTTAGCATCACGTCTTCTGTCATATTTGATCGTACTACGCAAGAGTGGATCAGAATAAAAATGAGTCATCAAGTGTTCCCTTATCTAATATTTATTTATATTCGATATCAATTTCAACCAAACAAAGATACCTTCAAATGTTGGCATTAGTTTACAATAGTAAGAGAATTTTTTTGAATTAAGAATGATGTTATGTATTATAACAGACAAATTTATTGATTTCTTTTTTAACTCTACTTGTGCTCTATTACGATAACAATAGAAAAAAAATGAAACCTTCCATTTTTCATGAAACATGACTGGTCTACTATAAAAGAACAAGTGTCAAATGTAGAAAAACAAGCTTTCATTAAAGGCATTTTCTATATTCTATCAACGCTCTATATAAATGAACGCTTCTTCGATAGATGATGATGATCTAATACGAAATAAGTGTGACGAAGGGTGAGGTGTGGATGTCGGGGTGATCAAAGAATTCCTACATCCACACCCACACCCGGACCCGGCATACTATGGGCTATTTAATTTCAGTCTGAATTTATCAAATAAAAATAATACTTGATTTCAAACTGAAAAGTGAGTCTAGGAGTGAGGGAGGGGGGCGACTGAGGGTGTGGGTGTTGGTCTGGGACCCACACACACACCCACACCCATGGTGCGGGTGTGGGCGCGCGAGTGAGGGTGAGGGTGTGCTTGTGGTTTTGTGTACTATAGGCTTTAGTCCCCTGCACAGGGGACTAAGCGGGGACTAAGCTTTTTGTGGAGGGGACTAAGGGGGACTTTGCAGGACTAGGGGGGACTAAGGGTTTTTAGTGAGACTACGTAGTATCAAGCGAGAAAAGTTTGATTCGGAAGAAATTGGTGTGGTTTTTTTGATTTTGGAATTCAGTTTGAAATAAAAAAGCCCATAGACTCGGACCCGGACTCGAACACGAAACTTCTCATTTTTTTCCCGTTCGAGTAAATTCGAGTAAATTTCGACATCGTCCAACTCGACAAGGAAAAGTCGAAAAACAGTGAAACTTTTGTTTTATAGGTTTCTCGACACGCCCTATCGATTGTGCATAGAATGAACGAAACCTAAAATTTGATCATGTTACGTGGTTTCTCAACGGGTGTGGGTGTGAATGAATAAAAAAAGACTCACACCCACACCCACACCCTCATAGATCGAACCAAACTTGTATTATCATTGATACTACCACATTTAAATATCAAATTAAATGCAAAGATCCAGATTGTAAAGACTTTATATCGTGAGGGCAAGAATTTTCCTACGACAACAAATAAATATTAAATCATCAGCATGATTTCTAAAAAAACTTACCTGAAACTTCTTTGTCACATTTAGTAAAATCAATAAAATGTTTGTTTACTTTATGTCTTTTTCAATATGCAGGACCCTTGCTCGTGCAATAACAGTATCACTTGTCTGTACTGTAAATTATATTCAATAAAATCTGTGTTTATTTATTTTAAAGACGCAAGATGCAGAACCCTTGCTCGTCCAATTGCAGTTTCACTTCTCTGTATTATAACCACTACTCCAAGAATAGATAGTCATTTTAACAGTTAAAATCATTAGAAAATATTGAACTCTCTCTCCCAGACATAAAATACTTCAGTTTCTTTCTACATTCACGACCCTTGCTCGAGCTATAGTCATATTACTCCTCAACAATTGACAATCATTTCATTTATTTAAAATCTCTCCAAAATATTGAACTCTCTCTTTCGTAGACATAAAGTGCTTAAGTTTATCTCTACATTGACAACAGCATCTATAAATTACGGAAACTTTGTGTAATTAATAGATTATTCTCATCAATCACTCACGTCCTCCACAAATTACAGGAAGTCTGCTTTATTAAAAATGTTCATTAATTAATAACTTACGTCCTCTATAAAATGCAGGAAATCTACTTGAAAAAAATTTCAAATTAAAACATTTTATACGATTAAAACTTTACAGAATCAAAGTTTAAAAATATTCGATTGTTCTTTTTAAATTTATCAATTATTCAACTTGAAAACTAGTCGAAATTTTGAAAGAACTTATTAAATTTAAATTTTAACTTTTTTATGTCACAAATGAGAAGTAGCCAATTTTTGGCGTTTTCACATATCACTTGAGGCTACATAATGGCAAAGTTTCATTGAAATCGGTGACATCGACTGAGCGCATAAACTGTCTTTTGTATCGTCCCTATCGTGCAATGACTCCTAGGGTAAAATTTCATGGAATACCCCGATTGCATGTTTATGATTATTTCTTATCTGATGATGTGATCGTAATGCACTTGTCTTTCTTCAGACAATCATTGTGACGATTGCTCACCGGTATCCTTGGATGGGAACTTACATCGACATCATCCGCGAACAAGATGCTAAAAATTATATCTCCATTCATAGGTATTTATTTCTATAAGAATAGTCAAGAAACTTATTAATTAAATGGCACAAGAACAGTCTGATTTTGTTAAATGACATGAACATATTTTAGTAAAATTTTAAATCCATTACTTCACTGTTACTGCATCGGTAAAGTTCAATTTGCATGTCAGTTGCAAACAGCTAAAAGAACACCGACGTTGTTTGAAACGTAGTTTGCGACAATAATATCGAGTTTGCTGTCTCCATTAACATCGACTGCTGCCACAGACACTGGCGAAGAGCCAGTTGAATAAGTCACTTGAGCAGCAAACGTGCCGTCGCCATTGTTGAGGAGAACACCGACGTTGTTTGAATTCTGGTTTATGACAATAATATCGAGTTTGCTGTCTCCATTGGCATCGGCTGCTGCCACAGACCGCGGCGAAGAGCCAGTTGAATAAGTCACTTGAGCAGCAAATGTGCCAATGCCATTGT